AGAATAATTTACTGAAAACTGCTTATCATTTCCTTCTGCTCCTCGTTGGGTTCGACACTCTTACTTATCGAAAGGACTACGATAGATCCCCTATACTTGTGGGTCATCAGTCACACAAACTTACTCAATGTATATCATGAGATATGGAAATGAATAATACACACAACCACAAATAAGCAATACAAGCTTACACAAATCGTATCACAATATATGGAATTGAATGATACAAGCAAACTCAAGTAAGCACTACAAGCTTACACAAGTTATGTCATGAGATATGGAAATGAATGTTACAAGCTAGCAATTCACACTAAGCATAAGGTAGAACAATAGTAGAAAGTATGAATTGCGAATATAAAGTGTAGGCCTAAATAATCTCTTCAAGGGAATGGCCAACGCAATATAATGAGGACAATAAGATATAGTGAATGCACGGTCAAGTGAACAAAGTAAACCACAAGTAAGGAGTTAGGGTTAGGGATAACCAAAGTCACGAAGATGAGGATGTATCCCGATGTTCACTTCCTTGGAGGGAAGCTAGTCACCGTTAGAGAGGTGGATGTTACCACGAAGGCACACCAACGCCACGAAGGCTCACCCTATTCTCCTTGAGATATCACGACAAAGGCGATTCTCAACCACTAGTGATAGACCTTTAGACGGCCTCCAAACCGTCACAAACTTTATGGGGGACAAGTCACAAGTTGATTGTTCACCGGAGCACTCCTACCGCCTAGGAGTCTCCAACCACCAAGAGTAATAAGAACAAAGGGGAAATGCTCAAGACTTGCTCAAATCACTAATTCCTTTGGTCGATAGAGGGAGAGGGAGTGGATCTATCACTTGATTGGAAAAACTCTCAAGAACTCTCTCGAATCTCTCCAAGATCTAAGATTTGGTGTAGGAGAAGTGAGAGGGGGCCACTTGTGTTCTTGGGGCGATTTGGGATGAAGTGGTCAACCCTCTACCGGATGGGTAGAGGGATATATATAGTGGTAGTGCAAATATGGCCGTTGGAGTGTAAGTGGTTGTGCCAGGACGGACATCCGGGCCTGGGGCTGAACATCCGACGTTGTGAAGTGTGCACACAGGTACGCGGAAAAACAGGTTACGGGGCCCGGACATCTGGCCAAACTCGGGGCCCCAGACATCTGGCCAAGTGCCGGACATCTGGCGTACACAAACAACATTTCGGTAAGGTTTCTGGACATCTACGGTCGGATTTCCGGGCCAAGTCCCGGATATCAGGCTAACCCAAAAACTGTAGAAACCCCAAAACTAAAACATGCATAACTTTCACATCCGGACTCCGATTTTGATGATCTTGGGCTCGTTTTGAATCTATGGAAAAAAACCAGGTCCTCACATGGAGAACCACCCAAGATCAACAAAAATGGAGGATGCAAATTATGCAAAGGTTTTATCATGTATTTGGGTAACCTATTTTGCTTTGATTTTTCTTTGGTGGATGTATAGGCATTTTGTATTTGTATTGGATAGGAGTGAAATATGCTTATGTTGGAATATGATGTGAGGAAGTAGAAATAGAAGATGTTGACTTGAGCAAATCTATCACTAACCCCTTTGATCCCCTCTTAATAGTGCGGGATCCCTATAACTCAAGAATCATAAAAAAACTATACTAGATAGCTTATGGAAACTCATTCTTGAGCATATGTCCTTTTCGATGGTCATCGATCCTCACAACTAAAGCCAAAGGAACTAATATCTTTGACTAAAGCATTCCAATTGAGCTTAATGTTGACGTTTATGCTTGACTCAAGTCAGAATGATAATCTTGATCATGACACTTGGTGAAGGCTTCAAATAGCTCCCCCATAAGCCATGCGGGGAGCATTGCATTGTATTCATCTTCATACATTTGTCATGTGATCATCCACAAGCTTCAAGCATGCAATCCTTCAGGATAGCTATCTTGAACTTGCCCTTGTCAACCATGATCATCAACACTTGATGTCATCCTCTCATGGACACTTGATCTCTCTCTCTCTCTCTCTCTGCGAGCCCATGAGAATCACCTAACCCTAAAAAACATACCACAAGATCCTATGTGGTGCATCGTTTGCACTCGTGTGTTGACGATTTAGAGTTCGATCTCTGAGCTTCATCTTGGTCAACCGATATCTCTACTCCATGTTTAATCTTGACGTCATGAAGGGTATATTGAATTCTTCACTTGAATAGCTTGCTCAATCATGACTCAACACATGAGTCCATTATGATCATATCATTGAGCCACTCCTAGAATTCATCATACAAATCATCCTTTTAAGATCTTGATCCATTATGGCTCAAACCATAGCTCTAAGCATGGCAACCCTTAAGATACTCCAATGAACTCCATTTTGATCATCTGGATGTAATTGTTGCTTCAAAGGAGTTGTCTTTCATTATTCTTCAATCATTTTTCAACGGGACTAACCTTCAAATGTATATCTCAATGCAAACATTAGTCCTATAGGATTGTTATTTAATTACCAAAACCACACATGGAGACTACATGTACTTTCAACCTCCTTGAAGCCCTTGTCAGTCCTCACCCCACTGGTTGATATTACACATCTTTTTAAGCACGAATGTCGATAAAAACGGTTGCTATTTCATTGAGTTCCCCTTGCCCTCTTTCTTTTCCTTGGTGGCTGCCTTTTGAGTTATAGCATTGGTTGAGCTTGCACAAATGATGTAGCCATGAATGGTGGAACCATAGGTGACTCTTCGAAAACATCCAAATCAAGAGGCATCTGGTTGTCGATGGGAGGCTGGGAGTCCTCGGCATAGGAGGCCACGAACTGGCTTTGGGGCATAGCAAGGGCCTGACTAAACTTTTGCATGCTCATTTCCTACAAGCGTAAGCATCAGTAAGAGTGGAGCACACTACACATCAGCATTAGGAACTAGCACTAAACATGGACATTATGAACGAAGACTACATATTTAAACCTACGGCTATTTTGAACATGCGGATGTATGTGGACTTCTTAAAAAGAATTGGTGGCTGATGTATTCGGTTAGTCTTGGATTTTTTTTTAGAAAAGGAGGATGACCCCCGGCCTCTGCATCTGGGAGATGCATACGGCCACTTTATAGATTATTCACGAGGACCGTACAAAGTATTACAACAATGTGTCTGAATCCACCATCTTGGCAACATATGCCGCTAATCCTATCCAATATGATGAAGGGGTGCTAGCTGGGCCACTACCCAGACCACTCACCTAAGCCTAACATCAAAAGCCGGAAGCCGAAACTCATTCGGACTCCCCAGCCGAGCCACCTACCAGGACAATCTGGTCAGACGCACTCGTGTGTTGTCGCCGCCATCTTCCACAGGTCTTCAGATCATATTGAGGCTTCTACCCTGTCTGGCCACTCTGCCATCGACGTCACCATGACGCCAGATATCAACCTCCTCCTGCGCGAGCCCATCTCCGCGCATCGGACGTCGAGTCTCCACAGCGCCATGCCATCGATCTCCGCTGCCATCAATGTGTGAGATGAAGCACCGCTCCACCATCCCTCCAGCCAGCACTTGCTCCAAAACGATGCCCCCAGAAGGGAAAGCGATAAAACGCCATCATCATCCGATCCGGAAGACCCAGATCTGAGGTTTCCCCCTGAGCACCCCGAGCCTGATGGCGCAGACTGCCGACGATGCCTCGACCATCGGCAGTAGCTCCACCAGACGAGCGTCGCCTACGTCGCCGCAACCTCCAGGATGAAGCTGACCAGAATGCATGTGTCGACGCCGAACCACCACCACTTCCACCGCCGCTTGAGCAGCCCCCGAGCAACGCCTTCAGGAAGGGACAGGGGGGTCTGAGATTTTCACCTGAGCTCCTGGGAGGGGTAGAAGAAAGGAGTTCCTCTCCGAAGCCTCCAACGAGGAAAGCAACACCCAAAGGCACTGCCATCGGAGTGGCCGCCACGCCGGCCAAGAGATTCCCCCGGAACCCTTCCAGCCACCGGATCTGCAAGGCCAGCACCCATGAACGGTGGCCGAAGCCACCAAGGGCCGGATCGGATACAGATCGGAGTAGATCGGGGTCGAGGACGAACATCACCATGGCCACCAACATCCAGCGAAGAACCGTCGCCGCAGCCGAAGCCCACCACCGCCCCGCCATCCACATGGCCAGGGAAGTGGCCCACCTGCCCACGCCGGCGCCGCCCGCTGAAGCTACGCCGCGTACCACCAGCCAGGGCCGCCGCCATGGATCTGAGGCTCCCCACGAGGGGCGCGCCCGACCAGCGCGAGCGCCAGTCCCGCTGCCGCCGCCGACGAACGCCAACGACGAGCGCCAGATCCCGCCGACGGGCGCCGCCATCACGCAGCCCGCCTCGTGCAGCCCTCCACGCCAGCCACCGTGGCAGCCCAGCGTCGCCGCGTCCCGCACAACGCCGCGTTCCGGCCAGGGTAAATCGCCCCACGGCGATCCCGCCTCGCGAGAAGGAGAGAAAGCCCCGCCGCCGCCCATGCCGGGCGGGCTTCGCCCGCCGACACGCCCTGGCGGCGGCGAGGGGAGGGATGGGGAGAGGGTCGCGGCTCGGCGGCGGCTAGGGTTTCCTCCCCTGCCGCCCGTGGGAGCGCCAGAGGAGGGCCCAAGAAAGGTGGTTAGTCTTGGATGGCCGGCTCCTACATCCGTGCCCGCAAACCTGTCCCTGTCTGTCAACGGATGCGGTGTTCCGTTTGCAGTCTAACATAGCTTGCAAAATGGTCTTTTATTATGGGACACGCGGAGTAGTTTCTTTCTTTATTCAACAAATGATTTATGGATTCCACTTGATAAGCATAAATACCGTGAGATCTCAATTGACATTGCCGGAATTCAAGTGATTACAAAGCCAAAAAGTAGTCCTCTGTTAATCAATCCTAATTTCTAATCTAATCTAGAAAAAAAGGTTCACAGTTTGTACTACAGGCTAGATCTGAAACAGCTAGCTCTGACCGACACGGAAAAGAAAGAAAAAATGCAGCCTCTCTACAAACAAGACGAGCCGCCGCCGACGACGTTGTTGTGGGCGTCCAGCGGGACGAAGGCGAGCGCGGCGAGGACGGCGAGCAGGCAAACGGGCACGAGCAGCAGCGAGAGCGGCGGCGGGGGCAGCGGCGGCAGCACGAGCGGCAGGAAGGCGAGCGACGCGGCCACCCAGAGGAACACCATGAGCAGCTGGATGGTGAAGCAGCCCGGCGGCGGCGGCGTTCTCTGGCAGCTCTTCGGCCCCCCGCGGCGCTGCGGCTTCTGCTCCACCTGCGCCGGCGGCATCTGCATTCGCCGACGGTGATCAGAGGTGCCCCTCGCCGCTCTCCTCTCCATCCTTGTAGGCGCAGGGATCGTACGTGAAGTTCAGACCCCGCGAAGGCAACTGACGGACCACGAGAGACTCTCCGGCCGGCCAGTCGGACGAGCTCGTCGGGGGAGGTATGAGGCTTCAGCGGAGGAGGGGGGAGGCTGCGATGGATTGTGCTTCTGGAAGAGGAAGGAGGCTGCACGCAATAGAAGGGGGGATCGAGCTGGTGGTGGTTCAACGGCTTTATTAGTAGTAGGAGTAGGAGCAGGATCAAAGTGGGGCGGCTGCTTGCTTCGGGGCAGGTTCGTTGAACAACGTGATGGCTTTGCTGCATGTTTTGACTGGACTCGGGCTCCAGCCACGCCCAACCTCGTATAGTCGCATCTCCGTTCCCATGCAAGCACACGCCGGGTCGTGGCTCCGTACGGCGAGATCGGGTCGGAGATCGCGTGCGCCCGGGGCCGGCGACGTGGAGATCTCGGCGTCTCGGGCAGTGGGGGGCAGCAGGTGCGGCGTATGTGGAGGAGCCAGTGGACGGACGCATGTGGGGAGCATGAATTCCAGGTCGTATTAGCCCAATTAGGACGTGTTTGTTGGTTGAGGGAAGGGGGCGACGCACCTGACCAAGTGCGTGCAGTCGGCGGTCGCCTTTCCCGTCCCCGATCTGTCGCCGCCGGCCGTCCGACAGCTTGCCCGCGCGCAGGTTCAGTGTCCCGGGGCATACGTACGGCGCGGCATCGGGTGTGCCTTCCCTGTCGCCGCCGCTTTCTAATTCGGGACACCATCGTGCGCCGACGCGTCGTCGTCATCACGGTTGTTGGAATGGTGGCGTGCTAATTTAGTTTGTTGATTAATTGGAGGAGACAGCATGTGCTCGTACTGTACTAGTTCTTGGCTGGGAAGAACACGTGCTGATTGCAGCAGGCGACTCGGCTGAAGATTGGAGCGACGACGTCAGCTTCTACGCACGGGCTTAAGCGTGTGTGCATGGATGCTGAGCTGTTATCGTCTGCGTGTTCAGGTTTCAAGCGTTTGAAAAGCGTGCGTGCGTACGAACGGGCGTCGCAAGGACTTTGCACAGTGAAGATTATCACAAGTGACCAGCAAATCAACAAATCATACACATAACTTTTCTTTTTGAGAGTATGCAAATTGCGTAAACTGAAAGAAGAAGAATCTTACTCAAAAAAAGAAGAAGAAGAAGAAGAATCGCCATGTACGAAAATAGTTCGTCTTCGAAAATATATCACGTACATGCTGATATGTGCTAGTGACATCAGAAGCCTGACCATATCTTGTTCTGTATCCAAGACGACTCGTCTAGAGTCCTTTTCTTTTTTGCAAATTACTCGTCGAAAGTCTTTGGTGCTGCACTTTATGCTCTTCTTTTTAGTCACATTCTTTGACAGTGACTTGACGGCGCCAAAAGGTATATGCCCAAGAAAAAGGAAGACGTTCGCCTGGAAACGTAACCGTGGTGCCATCCGATGAGCATGATCGCCATTTTTCTACGCAATTTCTTAGACGGCAGGTGACTGCCTTTCTCTTTTCTGTATAAAGCGCGATCAGCCTCGACGCTAGCTCGCAAAATAAGGGCAACTTCAACGCTGTCCAGATCACACGGTCCGGGCGCTTTTATCCATCCAACACATTAGATATGATGGTTTCGTATCTAGGTTTCAACTCTCAAGTACTCCCTTTGTAAACTAATATAAGAGTGTTTGAAACACTACTTTAGTATTCTAAACGCTTTTATTTATATTAGTTTACCGAGGGAGTACTAGTTTAACTAATGCATGTAATAGTTGCAACTTGTTTATGATGTTGGATTATGAGGTTCATCCTCGATTCCTGTTTTCAAAACTATTGTTCCAATGTGTTATGTTGGGCTATATAATGTTAAAGTTTAGTTATAAAATTTAAAATTAATGTTGTTACCAAACTTGGCATATATATAAACTCACTACTTCAACCAAAGTGGTCACTACAACAATTATCTATTCTTCATCCCCTTAACCAAACACACAAATGGCTATCCATAGCCACCTCTTATCCTTCCAACCAAACACTAAAATGTGGTTATCCAACTCTCCTAATCCCTCACGACCAAACGGCAAAAAGTGGACATCCCCAACCACATGGTTAAGGATATCCTCAGCCAAGCCATCCTTGATCTTGAACAAAACGCCCATGATGACGAGAAGTTGAAGAAAATGGTGGGTGCGAGGATGGTGGGTTGGGTTCGTGGTGTGAAGGTATGGATGGGAGGTGGGACGACGACCCTGGAGAAGAGACATGTCCCCCAAAAGATAGATGGATGATCGAGGCAATAACATGACTGACAACAATGGTGAATGGACAAGAAACAAGACAATGCCAGTGGTGGTAGCAGGTAACCCATTGGTCAGCATAAGAGAGGATGGGTCGTGAAATAAAAAACACATAAACTTTTCTAGATGTAACATACTGAGGTTGGTCGTTGCTTGATCCAATCAATTGTGATTTTGGAAAGAAGCATAACCCATAAGAGATAAACCCTAGCCACAAGAGTGGTAGAATCTCAATTTAATCATACGTGTTTCTATCGGTTATAGTCTTTTTTTTCTTAGTCATAATAAAAAGGCTTACTCTAACTATATGTCTTGGTGCGGTCTCATGGCCAAGACAAAACACATCATGAAGTTTGTGGTGCTTTTGTCCCACAAAATGACATACCTATAACCTGTTGGGTCATTGTTCGGCGCTTCGGTCTGTCAATAGTTATTTGCCCGATCCTCTTCCCCGACAATACAACAACGTGTAACAGTTCGACAATCTAGCTTGCAAGGGGTTCGTTGTGACGCCCCCGATTCAATCGTACACTAATCATACACGCAAACGTGTACGATCAAGATCAGGGACTCACGGGAAGATATCACAACACAACTCTACAAATAAAATAAGTCATACAAGCATCATATTACAAGCCAGGGGCCTCGAAGGCTCGAATACAAGAGCTCGATCATAGACGAGTCAGCGGAAGCAACAATATCTGAGTACAGACATAAGTTAAACAAGTTTGCCTTAAGAAGGCTAGCACAAACTGGGATACAGATCGAAAGAGGCGCAGGCCTCCTGCCTGGGATCCTCCTAAACTACTCCTAGTCGTCGTCAGCGGGCAGCACGTAGTAGTAGGCACCTCCGGTGTAGTAGGAGTCGTCGTCGAAGGTGGCGTCTGGCTCCTGGGCTCCAACATCTGGTTGCGACAACCAGGTAGAAGGGATAGGGGGAAAAGAGGGAGAAAGCAACCGTGAGTACTCATCCAAAGTACTCGCAAGCAAGGAGCTATACTACATATGTATGCATTGGTATCAACTGGAATAAGGCTTTTATATGTGGACTGAATTGCAGAAAGCCGGGATAAGGGGGGATAGCTAGTCCTTTCGAAGACTACGCTTCTGGCAGCCTCCGTCTTGCAGCATGTAGAAGAGATTAGACTGAAGTCCTCCAAGTAGCAACGCATAGCATAATCCTACCCGACAATCCTCTCCTCATTGCCCTGTTAGAGAGCGATTACCGGGTTATATCTGGCACTTGGAAGGGTGTGTTTTATTAAGTATCCGGTTCTAGTTGTCATAAGGTCAAGGTACAACTCCAAGTCGTCCTATTACCGAAGATCACGGCTATTCGAATAGATTAACTTCCCTGCAGGGGTGCACCACATAACCCAACACGCTCGATCCCATTTGGCCGGACACACTTTTCTGGGTCATGCCCGGCCTCGGAAGATCAACACGTTGCAGCCCTACCTAGGCACAACAGAGAGGTCAGCACGCCGGTCTAAATCCTATGGCGCAGGGGTCTGGGCCCATCGCCCTTTGCAAACCTGCACGTTGTGAACGCGGCCGGAAGCAGAACTAGCCCCCTTAATACAAGAGCAGGCTTACGGTCCAATCTGGCGCGCGCCACTCAGTCGCTGACGTCACGAAGGCTTCGGCTGATACCACGACGTCGAGTGCCCATAACTGTCCCCGCGTAGATGGTTAGTGCGTATAGGCCAGTAGCCAGACTCAGATCAAATACCAAGAACTCGTTAAGCGTGTTATTTTGAAATAACCGCGAACGCCGACCAGGGCTAGGCCCACCTCTCTCCTAGGTGGTCTCAACCTGCCCTGTCGCTTCGCCACAAAGATCCACACAGAGGGCCATTGGGACAAAGGTCCTTTCAGCCCCCAATCCGTGAATCACTCGCGGGTGCTCCACAAGCCGACCCGTCTTAAGTCACCAGATGTATCCTGTATAAAGTATATAGCATATACCCGTGATCACCTCCCGAGTGATCACGGCCCGATAATATAGCATGGCAGACGGACAAGAATGTATGGCCACTGATGATAAACTAGCATCCTATACTAAGCATTAGGATTGCAGGTAAAGGTATCAACAGTAGTGGCAAGGACAGGCTATGCATCAGAATAGGATTAACGGAAAGCAGTAACATGTTACACTACTCTAATGCAAGCAGTAGGGAGAAGAGTTGGCGATATTTGGTGATCAAAGGGGGGGGCTTGCCTGGTTGCTCTGGCAAGAGAGAGGGGTCCTCAACTCCGTAGTCGACCGGGGCACCAGCAGCGTTGTCAGTCTCGTAGTCTACCGGAGAGAAGAGGAGGGAAGAAATAGTAAATACGGAGCAAACAAGGTATCACAAAATATAACAAGGCAATACGCGGTGCCAGGGGTGATCTAACGCGGTAGTAAGTGACACTGGTGAAGGGGGGAAACATCCGGGAAGTATCCCCGGTGTTTCGCGTTTTCGGGCAGATGAAACGGAGGGGGAAAGTTGCGAGTTCGATAGGTTAGGGATGTGTGGCGGACGAATGGGATGCATATCCGGAATCGTCTCGTCGTTCTGAGAAACTTTCATGTACAAAGTTTTTCCATCCGAGTTACAGTTTATTTTATATGATTTTTCGAAGATTTAAACAAATTCTGGAATTTCTGGATTTAATGTAATTCGAAATAATCAAAAGACAAACTGCTATGGGTA